AAGTAAGATAGTTTGGTATGGTCAAAATGCTGAAATTTTCAGGATGCTGAAAAATTGGATGCAAAATGAAAATTACCATAAATGCCGAAATCGAGTTTCTAGCTTTATTCTGTACCATAGAATCCATTTTTGGCTGTAGTATAGAGAGCTAGATGAATGGGACGATGTCATTTTCCCATATACTTGACATTAAAAAATTTTGAAAAAATTCAAGAGCCTGCAGAGGCATTTTTTGAGTGACCTCGAAAATTCAAACCAATGTTAAAGGCACTTTAACACATTAGTGACAAAGGATGTACAACGTTAATAAAAATTTATTTATTCAGTCTTTCAAAAAAAAAAAAATACGTCATCTCAAAATATTGCCGAATTAATATTAACGTAGCAATCAAATAACTAGTTGGTTGTTATTTTTTGTTGGTATTCCTAATTATTGTATGTACTTTTTTGGATATTTTAAATTTAGTATCGCCACATCCAAGTATTTTTTTTAGTCTTCTCTTTTTGGTAATTTTTTTTTTAATCTTTAAAAATTAAACTTTGCTTATTTCTGTAAACTGCAAATTTTCAGTTGATAGATTTCTGCCGTAAACCAATAATTAATGCAAAGTTTGGTAGATAAAATTAATTTCCGAAAATAAAAAGTCTGCGTAAGCTTTTTGGAACGTTCGAGCACCTTTGTCACATTTCAGGTTTGAATTAGTTCGCATTCATTGTGCTGGTTTGATTAATTACTTTGTTTTGAAATTACTTAGATGTTTAGAATTTTGTAAATAGCTTTGTTTAATTTTTTATACCCGTTTAAAATAAGTCAGAACTAGTGACGTATGTAACAATTTTGACACCACGATCAGGGCCGGCTCTAAGGGACCAGGCGCCCCGATGCAACTTACTGTTCAACGCCCTCTAAAAAATTTTTGTAAAAAAAAATAAAATTTTGTAATCACATATTTTTCTGGAGAGACACTTTTTATTAACAAACATGCATAAAATTATAATGAATCAATCTTAATATATCAAAGTGTTTGTCCTGACTGACAAACTGACTGATTCATCGAAAAAAAACAAACGCAAAAGCAAAGCCTAAACGACTGAATCTACAAATATGAAATTTGGATAGTAGATTCCGCTTGTATCATAAGCACCCATTAAAAAAGGATTTTTGGAAATTCCGTCCTTACGGGGACAAAATAGAGGATGAAAATTTATGTAGGAATCTCCTGAGTTTTTAAGTTAGACGGGTTCACTGGGGAGGGGGGGAGTGAACGAGATGAAAAATTTTTCAATTTTCAATATCGTAAAATTGATACGATTTCAAAGTTAAATAAATTATTTAATTTGGACTTACTTGAATATTAATCGAAATTTAAATTAAAAATTAATGATGACAAAAAGCCAAAGAATGGTACACAGAACCAAATTCGACTACAAACAGGAACAGTAAAAAATATAACAAAACTGTTGAACAACCACCACAACTAACCCGCTAGACTTGGAAAATAAATTTTTTAAGTATGTGCCAACATGGAGTTTTATGGTAAAAACAAACGTGGCAATGTTAGGAAAAACATCTGGTTTTGGTCATACCGCTGTCTCGTCAAATTGTTACCCAGATAATGCAATCATAAATCTGGTTATTTTTTGTCGGTATGCTGTTCCTGCTATAATATTTTGTACGTCCTGATTCAATGCAAATCTAATATTAATTTATTTCTGTAAAGTTGATATAAAAGCAGAGGCGGCTCTTGCCGCCCGGCGCCCCTTGTCGCGGGGGCCCCGATGCGGTGCATCTTTCGCTTACCGTGTTGAGCCGGCCCTGACCATGATAGCACAAAATCGTGTCTACGTTGTATAAATATGCTTTAAATTCACGGAATTACTTTTAAACTAATGAAATTACACTGGTAATTGTTGAAATAGCTGGAATTATCGACAAATAATTGGAATGAAACTGTTTTGAAACTATTCGAACCCAAATTATGTTCTACGCAGTTTTGCAGATGATCTAGAAGTTTTTCTGAAGTTGTTCATGACAATTGATTACCATTTTCGTCACATACCATTAATTACTTTTCTATATGGTACACAAGTGTATAAAACCCGGATTAAATATCTTGCGACGTACACGCACACTAAATTTAGGAGTTGATCTTGCACATGTCACAATATTTTGCGTTTAAGTCTACTTTAGAGGTGTTTATTCGCGTACCAAATTAAACTACCGCTACGCAGAATGATTTGTTCTTTTTACATGTTTATCACAACGTAATCTAAATTAAACGTTTAAAGTTTCGTGCACTTGCTGTTCAAGGTCGGTTAAGAAATTTGGCAAAGGGCGACGAGGAAATTATGGACTTTAAAATAATCCAGTTTAAATTTTACTTCGCACTGCCAAAAATACAAGGAAGTATACTATAAGCGAGTACTATAAAATCGTATAACAATACACAAAATTCGGTATAAATAACCCCAACCGAAACAATCAAATAAGCGGCTTTTAATAATAACGACAACATTTTAAATAAACTTGTGGACGTGCACATAAATGCAGTTGCTGTCTGGACTGTCGTTGACCCAAGCCAGAAATAGATTTTCCTCACCTACCAAACGAAAGTGCAAAGCACACTCCCCCAAATTTATAATATTTGAAAATATTTTGTGGCGAAATTTGTGTTAGTTATAGATACAAAGTGGTACGCCGCTGACATTTTATGTGTTTCCAAAATACTATTGTTTATATTATCTATATTAAATAGGTTAATAGGGCGTTCGCTACCGATAAGTCGCAGTAGGTTTTTGGCTAAATAAACATTTCCTTGAATCAACAACCAAGTCTGCGCTTGAAAATCAATCGAAATTTTCAATTAGTCTCGTTACAAGTACACTTTAAAAGCTCAATAAAACTCTATAAAAACAGCGTTTGGTTTTTCTCTTAACAACATAAAAGCTGTGCGGTATCAAAATGTGGGGCAATTTTTCTTAAGATTAGCGTTCTTGGCAGATGGTCCATTCCAGGTTTATCCCTGGAATGTTCAAGTGCTGAATCACTGACGCTGTATTTATCATTTCTGGCGCAACTGAAAAATATTCATAGACAAAGAAAATCAAAAACAATTTGGAAACGACAACCTGAATTATTACTTTTATTGCGCAACACAATTAAATCAGAAAACCAAGTCAAAAATCACTGCTGCAATTTCATTATTATTTTTGGACAAACACTTGCCTTTATTTAAGTTTTACTAATGGACCGAACGTGACCACTTCCACCTATTCATTGCTGATTATTTGTTACCCTTGCCAAATGAGCGAACTCTACAATAACATTCATCCTACTCACCAATACCCGAAGAAATTCGAAATTTGGGTGCAATCGGTGTCTATGCTGTGGCCCGAACTCTCCAGGTCACTGTTCAGCCCGGTGAAGATCCCCGTGTCTGAAGACTCCGTCGAAGTATCTTCACTCGTGTCATCGTCTTCTTCGAACTCAGTGTCTTTTTCGTCATTACCACTCATCTTGGTAAAGATTTTCTTCACAAAACTCATACCGTCTTAACATTTACTACGAGTATGCGTGGACGCGTTCGTCTTTGGCACTTCACGTTTAGATATCTGCTATTTGCAGCTCAAGCATGTGAGCCTTGGACACGGTCGTCGTTTAGTGCCAGTTGTTGGGATAATACAAAGTATAAATACTATAACATCTGACATATAAATCAACAATTAAAAAAACACAAGGGATTGACATGATCCTAAACGGTAGGCAAAACGTTTAATGTGGGGGTTATTTAAAGACTGTTAGCGCCAACGCACGACGCACGTAAAACTTGCAGTTAATAAAGTTTACTACTAGCGGTGGGGTATTTTTACACCTGATGGACTGCAAAATGTTTAGATTGGGGCAGGATGATGTAACGAACCATCGATCGCAGATTTTGTAAATGTTTTGATCTGGATAGACATAACCTTGCGATTGTACATTTCGATTTCGAGAAACTAAGCACGTTTCAAGAATTCTAAATTTATTGTTGCACTGAGGTTTTAATGCATGTGTTACTAGCTTGTAAAAAAGAAAATGTTAATTACAAAACAACTGGCGAAAAATTTAGTTTCTATGTACTTTTTCTGCTGTTTCGGAAAATTTTACGTTTTCGAGAAGTTTAGGTGACAAAAACATAACGTATCCATAATTCAAAAGTATTATCACTGGGAAAATCAAGATAAAACTAGCGTATTTAGCCTGTAGAATGTGATGGTCCTTGATGGAATAAAGACTGCATTTTCGTCAAAGAAAACTGACTGTATGTTATTGTCTTTAAAGTGGTTATTTTTATTTTATCCACGTTTTAGTTATTGTGGATCTAAGTAAAATTAGACATATTATATACCTCATTTTTTGTAAATGTCGGCAAGCAGACATTCTTTCTTTACGTAAGATATTAATTTATGACTTCACTGCAGGTCAGGTCAGGTCTGGTCAGGTCACATCAGGTCAGGTCATATCAGGTAGGCTGTAAAAAAATTAAAAACCGTAGTTTTTGGAATAAACAAGAAACCGGAAGAAATTGGACACACATCAAAATTCCAGATGTCTTTTAGAAGATTTTCGAACACCTCTGAAAAAAAAAGAAAAAAGGACCAGGTCATGTCAGGTCAGTTCAGGTCCCCCAAGGTTCAGTGTTAGGGCCAATATTGTGGAACGTATTGTATGACAGAATTTTAAAAATAAAATGTCCAAAGGAACTAGCTTGGTCGCATTCGCAGATGATCTCGCTGTGGTGGTGTGCGCAAAAAGCGAACTAGAAATGCAAGAAAATGCTAAAGACACAATCCAACTAGTGAAAAAAGAGCTCGACAAAATGGAGCATTAAATCTCGAAAAACAGACGCAGTTCTACTGTCGGGGAGGCTAAAATTACCGAAACTAAAAATAAAGATTTCGGAAAACTTAACACAAAAAAAATAATACCTTGGACTAGTAAAATAGACCAAGACCTTAGAATGGCAGCTCATGTAGACCATGTGGTTAGTCGCGCAGAGAAAAAAGCCGTTGCAATAATGAAACTTATGCCAAATATTAGAGGCCCCGGAGACACCACAAGAAGGATATATGCAATGGTAGCCAAAGCGGTAATCATGTACGCAGCCCCTGTATGGATGAAAGTGTGGAAAACAACAATCTACAAAGAAAAACTGGAAAGGCTAAATCGACGTTTAGCCATAAGGGTAGCCAGGGCATACAGAACGGTTAGACATAATGCAGTACTGGTAATAGCGGGCCTTCCACCACTAGAACTCCTGGCAATAGAAAAGACGATACATAGAAAGGTAAAAGCAAGGAAACGAGCAGAAGAGACCTACTAGCAAATTGGCAAGCGAGGTGGAACGAAGAAAGGTGTTGGACAAAAGAGTTGATAAAGAATATTGAGCCTTGGATAAACAGAGGACATGGAGAGCTAAATTACAATCTGTGCATGGTGTTAACTGTACATGGAACCTTTAATACATACAGAAAAAGAATAAAAAAAGATGAAACAGGTCAGTGCTGGTTTTGTGAAGAGGAAGTAAAGGATACCCCCGAACATACCGTATTTGAATGTAAAAGATTCAAGGAAAGAAGGGTAGAGCTAAACACGAAAATAAAGGAGAGTATCACGAAAGAAAATATGACAAATATGATGATAAAGAATGAGAAAAATTGGAATGACATAAACAAATATATAAATGACACAATGGATATCAAAAGAGAGAAAGAAAAAAGTATAGAAAGAAAAAAATAGCGAGGCCGGAGACAGGCCAAATAAATGTCCTATGGACGGTACTGACTGTCTTCAGAAGAATGGGGAGGGGTTTTAGGGCGGTAAAAATCCCCCACTCCCCCGCGAATATGAAACATCTTCTCGCGGGGAGCCTTTTGAAGGTTTCCCCTCCTCCCCAAAAAAAAGGTCAGGTCAGGTCAGGTGAAGTTGGAGGCGAGATGCACTCTTAATTATTGAGAATGGGGAAACCTCATATGCAGATATTCTAAAAGTATTAAAAGGAAACATAAAAGAGGAAAATATAATAGATAGTATCAGCACAGTAAGGGAGGCAAGTAGAGGTGAAGTCCTAATTAAATTAAGGAAAGAAAATCAAGCGACAAAACATACAATAGAAAGAATTTTGACTGGGGCCAAAATCAAAGCACTCGTCGGTGGAAGCAGTACAACAATCTTCTTGAATGATATTGACTCTATAACGGACTCAGAAGAAATAAAAGATGCTTTGGGGGAAGTGGGTGTAGAAAAAGAAGGGGTGCAAATCAATGCCATTAGGCGGACTGGCGATGGGAATCAAAGAGCAGAAATTAGATTGAGAGACAAGGATGCGAAGGAGGGCATCAGAATTGGCCTAATAAGAGAGAAGCTGGACCTTCAAAGGTGCTATAAATGTTAGGGCTTGAGCGCAAAGCCAGAGAATGTAAATAAAAAGACAGAAGTAAATGATGTGTCAAATGTGGGAAAGAAGGCCATCAAAGGAAAGAAGAGTAGTGCCAACTGTGTCAAGAAGGAGGGCATAAGCATAGGGCAGCAAAAGGAGGTGCAAAATATTTACAAGGGCTGCGGGACCGGATGCTATTTCTGCAGATATAGTGATTAGTATTACTAGAAGGTAAATTTCCGACCAATTGAAAAGAATTAAAGCGAGGGCTGACGAAACCCACATTCAGATCACTGTGTATTCTAAACCTCTTAGATAAGCTTCTCGACATCTGATTCTCGGCTGGTTGAACGAGGAGATCGAAGAAGGTAAAAAATTATCCAACCATCAGTGCGGACTTACAAAAGGGCGATCACCGATCCAGGCCATGATGAAGGTTGTGAAGATCACAGATAACGCAAATAAAGGAGCGTAGAATAAAAGCAGACGGGTTTGTGCCCTAATTACACTAGATATCCAGAATGCCTTTAACTCTGCACCTTGGGTGGGAATAATAAACACCTTAGAAGAAAAAGCTATAAGCTCTATAGGTATTATCAGCATGGTGCCGAGTTACTTTGAAGACACAGAACTTGATTGGTGAGATGGAAAACATGGCTATTACTGCCGGAGTTCCACAAGGGTCGGTTTTGGGGTCGACCCTTCGGAATTTATATTATGATGACATCCTGAGGGCCAAAGTTCACACCTTAGAGATGACCGTTGTTGGAAAAATAGAAAAAAGAGGATCAAGGAGATTGTTACTTCATCCTTGAAGACGATAGACCAGAGAAGCAACTCAAGCGAGCTAATAACAAAACCGAAATGGTGGTTCTTGTAGGCATGAGGAAGCTCAAGAAATTCTCACTTCAAATTGAACAAGAGACAATTAATACTAGCGAAACCATTAAATATCTGGGGTTACATTTGATAGAGACATGACGTTTCAGGCATATTTATTCGAAGTGGCGCAAAAAAGGGCAGCTATGAGTCTAGGTCGATTAATGACTAACTTGAGTGGCCCGAGTGCAAGCAGAAGAAAGATACTTATGGCAGTAGCATATTTGGTGATGTTATATGCTGCTCCTGTGTGGGTGGGGGCTATTGGAGCGCAGAAATACCGTGACGTTTTGACGAAGGCGTAAATAGTGTTACGGGTAACACCGGCGTATAGAATAGCTCCAACAGAAGCTTTACTAACTTTTGCTGACTCCACGCCTGTTGATCTCTTGATTTAAGAACGAAAATTCATACACGAAAACGGCAAGGAATATAAAGTGGAACACCAGATGGGTTAAGTACAGGGGTTGGTTTAAAGTGATAATCTCCGATCTTGGAAAATGAATTGAACGTTGCTAGGGCCAGGTCGATTTTTATTTCACACAGGCTGCGACTGATCATGGCGTGTTCGGTAGCTCCCTCCAATGAATAGGCAAGCGGTGGACGGATGCATGTTGGTATTGTGGCGAGAGGGAATCAGTGGAGCACACGATATTTAGATGCGTAAAATGGCAGACTGAGAGAGCCAAAGCAAGTCATCGATGTGGTACAGACATCAACCCAGAAAACATAGGGGTGTAGATCTTAGAGCAAGAAGAATTTTGGGAAGCCATTGCTACTACAATCAGACACATATTAAAACAAAAAGAATAAGACGAAAGAATCTACTAGAAAATGATATTGGGACGGAGAGTTCAACACCACGGTATAAGGTGCTTGGATGTAATGCCTAGTGGGTATTCCCAAGCGGTCTCACTGGCCAAAGAGGAGTTTTAGTCGGTAACAATCCAGCACCACTTAGTGCAATTGATCGTGTGGCGCACTAGGTGTCCATGATGGATTTCTTCTTCACCGAAAAATAAAGGGTAGGTCAGGTCAGGTTAGGACTAGTACGGTGCTAACAGGTCCTTTACCAGCAACAGGAAGACAGAGAGGAGATGATGTTTACTGGCAAAGTGGATGAAACGAACTTAACGAGAAAGCCCAACGGACGAAATAGCTTATCGCAAATTTGAAGACTTAGTGGGAGAGGAAACATGGATATATGAACTTCTACTTTAGGTCAGTAGGTATTTAGCGGTCATGATTACTTTGAAAGCTATCTGAACAAAATCGGAAAGAGGAAGAGGGTATATGCTTATATTGCCTGGAAGCAGACAACACAGGATATATCTTGTACATTTGTCAGAGATGGAACAGTTTGAGAAAATCCTTGTACGTAGAAATAAATATGTTTGTTGTATTTATGAAAAAAAAGGAAGAAGGTGAAAGGACAAAGCAACCACCTAATCCTCTCTTATCAGTATAGAAAAACGAATGGCATTAAGCGGCCGGAAGTAATACCTCGCGGCGGTTCCCGGCCGACGTCACAAGTCAGGCGTGGTTTTGGCCGGTAGGAGTCCGGAGATACTCGAACCATTTGATCAAAGCTCCGGGTTCCCATGATAGGTTTCCCCCCCACAAAGAAAAGGTCAGATCAGGTCAAGTCTGGTCTCCTTGAAGCAATGCGCAAGCGATCCCTAGGAAAACGATGAAGAGACAGAGGGGTTTTTAAAAGGTAGGTCCGCTCCTGACCATCTTGAGGGAGAAACCAACAGTACCTGGAACAACGTCTCAGGTCCCTATGAAGGTTTTGCTCTCCCCCAGAAGAAAAAAAAGTCAGGTCAAGTCAGGTCAGATCAGATCAGGGTACGACAGGAGAGTGGGAGAGAGGAGAGGACAGAATGAAGGAACGGGGATGGAGTGTGGCAGAAGAGAAGATGGAAAGACTGGCTGCGGTGATGAAGGAGAGAGTGAAGACGATGGATAAACGAGAAGATCTGGTGTGCGAGACGACGAGAATGCTAAAGGAAACGTGTAACAGGGTTTAAAAAAAAAGGGATGCATGGGGAAACGGAAAGGAGTGTACTGGTGGACGGAAGAGATTGCGGATAAAAGGAAGGAATGCTTGAGAAAAAGAAGGGAATGGATGAGGTGCCAAAAAAAGGAAAGAGATACCGAAATAGCGAAAAAAATAAAATACCTTGGACTAATAATAGACCAAGACCTTAGAATGGCAGCTCATGTAGACCATGTGGTTAGTCACGCAGAGCAAAAAGCCGTTGCAATAATGAGACTTATGCCAAATATTGGAGGCCCCGGAGACACCACAAGAAGGATATGTGCAATGGTAGCCAAATCGGTAATCATGTACGCAGCCCCTGTATGGATGAAAGTGTGGAAAACAAAAACCTACAAAGAAAAACTGGAAAGGCTAAATCGACGTTTATCCATAAAGGTAGCCAGGGCATACAGAACGGTTAGACATAATGCAGTACTGGTAATAGCGGGCCTTCCACCGCTAGAACTCCTGGCAATAGAAAAAGACGATATAGAGAAAGGTAAAAGCAAGGAAACGAGCAGAAGAGACCTACTAGCAAATTGGCAAGCGAGGTGGAACGAAGAAAAGTGTTGGACAAGAGTTGATAAAGAATATTGAGCCTTGGATAAACGAGAAGATCTGGTGTGCGAGACGACGAGAATGCTAAAGGAAACGTGTGACAGGGTTTAAAAAAAAGGGATGCATGGGGAAACGGAAAGGAGTGTACTGGTGGACGGAAGAGATTGCTTGAGAAAAAGAAGGGAATGGATGAGGTGCCAAAAAAAGGAAAGAGATACCGAAATAGCGACGGAGAAAGGCAGGGAATACAAACAAAACAAAAAAGAACTAACAATAATGACTAGAAGATCGAAAGAAAAGGTGTGGAACACAGTATGCGAGGAAGTAGATAGGAATGTGTGGGGAGATTGATACAAGATTGTAACTAAATTGATGGAAAAAGGAATGAGCGGTATCGCGTGTGGCGAGAATGTAATGGAGGAGGCTCGTAAGCTCTTTCCGGAGCACGGGCCTCTAGAGTGGACGGATCTGGTGGTGGACGGACAGGTGCGAGCCTTCACTCTCGACTCTCTGCATGAGGCGGCCGGGAGGCTGAGGAAGGGCAAGGCGCCGGGTCCGGACAAAATACCACCAGAGGTGTGTAAGATGTACGCGAAAGAATATGGAAAAGAATGTTTGGAAGTAATGAATAGATGTTTGGAAAAAGGGCAAGTACCCAAGGAATGGAAGGTGGCGAGACTGGTGCCATTCGAGAAAGAAAGGAAGGAAGGAGAGAATGCGAGATATAGGCCCATTTGTCTGCTGAACGGGATGGGCAAGCTGTACGAGGGAATGTTGGCCGCGAGACTGAGGAA